ACGCACGTGGCTATCAAAGGCCTGCAAGTATTTGTTTTGAAATTCGCCAATCCTGTTTTATTCCAACATTGTTTAAAGGTTGCTATGTCATCCAGAAGAGAGACAAGTCTACCTTGTTTGACAAAAGACGATCCATTCGCGTGCCACGGACACCCACTCGGACACCCCGGTTGTTTCCACAGCATTGGCCTCTGATCGCGGCCGCACACAACCTTGATTCCGATTGGATTGGAATGCATGTCATGCTACCTACATTCCGAAATCTGACAACCCGCACGAGCTGTGGTCATTACGAGTTTGCCCTTCCGCTGCCATGGTCAAATCTATTGTTGCGAGCGCAGTCCTTGCGCTTGCTGCTGCTTCGACAGACCCGTTCCACTGGGGTCCATGCGCGGGAAACCCCGACCTCCGCACCGAGTGCGGCTACCTCACCGTGCCGCTGGACCATCTCAATGAGACCAACGAGGCCACCATCGACATTGCCGTTCAGCGCTACCGGTCGGCGGCCGCCAAGCCGCTTGGTACGATCCTTCTCAACCCGGGTGGCCCCGGCGCGTCGGGCACGGCCCTTGGCTCGCCAGTGGCCAACTATGTCTCGGGCGGTGCGTACGACGTTTTGGGCTTTGATCCGCGTGGCGTTGGCAAGTCGCGGCCGATCCGGTGCGCCAAGGACGGCTTTGCAGCATATGTGGGTCAGTATGAGCTTTTCAGCTCGAGCGGTGTGTTCTATAAAGCGCTGTCCGACGACCAAATCGATCGCTACAGCAGCGTGTACGGCCAAGCTATGGCGCGCTGCCGCCACTACGACGGCGACTACCTTCAGTACCTCTCGACAGCGTTTGTGGCGCGCGACATGGACCTCATGCGCGCGGCGCTGGGCCAAGATCGCATGCACTATTATGGTTTTTCCTACGGCACGTACGTCTTTTCCGTCCTCTCTGTAGAAGACAGTTTTGGGCATGATGCTGATTGATTGGTGACTAGGGTGCTCGGCGCGACGTACGTCAATATGTTTCCGCACCGCGTCGGCCGCGTCGTCATCGACTCGGTCGTCGATGCGACCAAATACTCTAACACGAGCGCGTCGTTTTGGGCAAATACGATCGCCAACATCGAAGACGTTTTTGATGGGTTTGCTACCGAGTGCGAAGCCGCGGGGCCGCTTGTTTGTCCGCTAGCTGGCCACGACACGCCGCTCGCGCCGCGTCTACGGTCGTTTATCCAGAACTTTACGCCCACGGTGGTCCGTGGGGGCTACGACGTCGTTCAGTTCACGTCAACAGATCTGTACACGCTTCTCTTGCTTCCCATGTACCAGCCGGCAATGTGGCCCAAGCTCGCGATCGACTTGCACCAGCTTATGGAGGGCACATACGTGGCGCCACCAGCAAGCGATGTGTGTCCATTGCAACTTGAGGCCCGTGATCTCGGTTTGAACGGGATTCCGTTCATGGGCAACGACATCGATCCGACGACCAACACGGCGCAGAGCTGGGCCGACGGTCTTCGCGCTGCCCAGAAAAGCTCGCCGATCTTTGGCGGGCCATGGCTTGGGACCCTCATGATGACCAAGTACTGGACGACGACGCCGATCGAGCGGTTTGCGGGCCCTTGGAACCAAACGCTTGCCAACAAGATTTTGATCCTCAACAACGTCCACGACCCGGTCACGCCGCTCGTTGCTGCGCAGCACATGCACAGCATCTTTGGCGCCAACAACTCGGTCTTGGTGGTCCGTGACGGCTACGGTCACATTGCGTCGACGTCGCAGCCCAGTGCGTGCATCCACGACATTGTGACTGCGTACTTCTCCCACGGCATCCTCCCGACAACAACATTTTGCAAGGTCGACCGTGGACCGTTTGCAGCACCGTCCGCGCTCTCGGCCGTCGCGCTTGCCGCGCAGGAGATGTCGACGATCATCCACAAGGCGGTACCCGGTCGCAAGCTGCAGCGACTCGAATAAGCTCAAAATCTTGTCGTGTGCCTCTTCAGCGATGGTTTTGATGCCCTGCAGATATGCCTTGATGGTACAGTCGTACTCGACGGTGCGTGTGGCGACGAAGCTCGTGACGAGTGGGACATCCACCAGATAGATACTTGGTCGAGGCTACTCGACGGCGGCGCAAAGCGACTCCCTCGTGCACCAAGGCATATCAAGGTCCACAAGCTCTCGCATGCTCGTTAGTATTCATCACTCTGTATTCTGCCAAGCTCGGTCACTCTGCAATCATTCCCATCGCGCCCGTGCTTGCTCGCGCTCGATCGTCGCGTGATCTTGCAACGCACATCACCCAAGCGACCGCGGGGCTTCCTCCATGTACTAGTACACGTCTGCATGTTATGGCGACTGATGAGACACTAGGAAATCCTTATTTCTTATTCCCAACGTTAGCGAACTTTTGTCATGGGGTTCCGACACGAGCCGATTTCGCAAGCGCTCGCGCGCAGTTCCTTCCGCCGGTGCCACGCCTTTCCCGAACTTCGGCGAAGGCCGTGATGAGTCATCGTCTATTTTATTTGACATGTGGTTAATACGGATACAAATATCAAGATCTCGATCCCCAAAAACATCGAATTAAAATACCACGACGACGTTGGGCGCTCATCTGCGACACGCGAGTTTGCCGACGCGTTTGATTGGCCAACGCAGGTACCACTCGCATCCGATTGGCTTAGACGTTGAATGCTGGCGCGGGATTGGCCATTGCCGACAAAATGTTTGCATCAACCTTTGGCGGCCAAGGATCCCCGGAAGTTCATTTGCGCATTTGCCGCCGCCATGTCCACTCGTAAGTGCAAGCACATCGACATGGACCTCGCTAAGTGCACGCGTCTGACCTAGCGTCCAGCGCCAACCTCGGTACGTCGACCGTCGCCGAAGCCCTTGAGGGCCTTAAGAAGGGCCAGTTTGTCGTCGTCATGGACAACGAAGACCGCGAGAACGAAGGCGACCTCATCATGCCCGCGCAGCTCGCGACCGAAGCGTCATTGGCCTTTATGATCCGGTACTCGAGCGGCGTCATCTGCGCGCCATTGACGAGCGACCGTATCGACGAACTCCAGCTGCCGCTCATGGTGCCCAACAACACGGAAGTGCGGAAGTGCAAGTTCACGATCACCGTCGACCTCAACGAAGGCACGACGACCGGTATCTCGGCAGCCGACCGCGCCGCCACGATCCGCGCGCTCGCCGACCCGAACGTCAAGGCCCGGTCGTTCAACCGCCCCGGCCACATCTTTCCGCTGCTGGCCGTCGACGGCGGTGTCTTGTCCCGCGGTACGCCGTCAATTCTCCAGCTCTTGCGCTCACCCGACTGTAGCCGGTCACACAGAAGCGGCGGTGGACCTTGCCCGCCTCGCTGGCTGCACGCCGGCGGCGTACATTTGCGAGATCAACGACGACAACGGGCGTATGCTCCGCCGGCCGCAGCTCGAGACGTTTGCCACGACGCACGGTCTGCACTTGATTACGATCTCGGATTTGATTCGCTACCGCTTCTCGCACGAGACACGTACAACCAGAACCACCTCTCAGATCCTAGTGGTCTCACCACACCACATGTAGTGATCCAGCGTGTCGGCGCTGCCGAGCCGCTCTCGACGCCCTTTGGCGCGTGCCGCAAGGTGGCGTACACGACGACGTTTGACGCGACGCGGTACACCCACAACGCTAAACGCACGCCAATTTCTCATGAGCAGTAGGTTTGATGCGCTTGTCGTTGGCAATATCTCGGCCACGGGCGCGCACGTCTACTTTGTCGATGGCAGCATCGAAGGCAGTATCGAAGCCCAGTTTGCGCTCCAGTGGTTGACGGCGAACAAGGCCAACGGTGTCTTGGTGTTTGTCCCTGGCTACGAAGGTGCGTCATCCTCTTGTTTTGCGAGTCGAGAACCTCATGCTGTGCTATGTAGCGTTGGTCGATGTGAGTGGCGAGCTCATGGCCAAGCAGTCGATCTTTGGCATGGGTCTCCAAATCCTGCAAGAGATGGGCGCGAGCTCCGCCGTGCTCCTCGCCAAGACGGCGCCGGTCTTTGACACCAAGGGCTTTGGCACGGCGATCGAGCGCGTCCAGCTCCTCAAATGTGCATAGAGCCATAGTATGTAGATGTAGACGACCAGATAAGTAATGACAACGAGTAATTGCACCTTGACCGTATCCCGTTATCATTCCAATGCAGAGGTACGATGCGCAAGGGAGTGCAACCGCAGGCGCAGCAGGCTGCTTGAATACGACTTGTGGCATGAGACGGACGACAATTGAAAAGCTTGCTGTACGCCGCCCACAGAGTCTCCTCGCTGCGAGTGCCAAGGCTCGATCGCTGCGCGCAAACTAGGCACGGAAGGTGCAGTTCGCCCGAGCCAGAGGTAATAGCCCGCCTCGGTGAGACCGCATCCAGCGTATCAGCGCTGCCACAACGGGTCGTAGCTGCCAAGGTTTTGGACCACGGTGCGTGATGCTGACGGTAAGAGTAAAGCACTTCAACTAGGTACGTCCTCGTGCTGAAAGCCACGCGGATCGGCCAGTCGCCAGGGATCGGCGAAGAAAGATCGGTCGAGACAATATTTTGCACCTCTGCGTGACAAGAGCACTCGAGCAAAGCTAACGTTATGGCATGGACGACAGCTCTATAAACATCTCGGAGCGGCCTTTTACGGAGGTTGACACGAGCTGCGTCATCGACCCGACGACATTTTGTTGCTGCCAATGCTTGCGTGGGCGGCGATGGCCGTATACAGGCGCCACATTATGTCAACCAAAACACTGATCAAATGTGACGCTTGAACTGAGTTATCAACATTGAAATACACAGAGAGATGTCATCCTACTAAACCCGTGAGGCGTGGTCAAGCGAGGCGCGTTACTGGACATAACTCGGGAGTGTGCGAGGAACACGGTAGCGACACACCAAGCATCGTCGCGAAGCGCGACAAGCGAGGAGGGCACTACGGCGCTCGAACCAAATGTGCCGGTTTCCCTCGTACTTGCCAGCGTTGTGCCACCTCCGTCATGCGCCAGGCGTCATCGTCTATTTGGCTAAGGGCATGTTCATTTTGGCGCTCGTTCTTCGTTGCTTTTACGCAAAGACGATGCGGGTTGGTTGACGCGGTGCCGTCGATCTTGGAGCTCGCGTTCTGGGAAGCCGCGACAGGCGAACCGAGGCGATCGTCCCCTCCACTGTACGACGAGACGTGGGTGATCGCTGGCGTTGGAAATTCCATCGCGACTTTCGACGACGTATCCACTCCAATTGGTCCTTCCTTTGCTTACTTGCTCTACTGTTTGGATTCAGAGATACGCAGTACTCTGTCTTGGCACAAATGGAGCCTGCGACAATCAAGGAAATGGAAGCGATCACTTCTAGCTATCATTTCTTGTCGGGCGACGGACGCACGCACGCACGCGTACACTGTGAGCCAACGAGTGGCGCCCACGTCGAAGTAGAAGTTGGTCCAGCCAGTCACTGAAATTTGTAAACAGGCCGTGCGTGCTTGATGGGCAAGTGATTTCAGGTCCCCACGCGATAGATTCGACCGATTCTAATTCGTGGCGGCTCACTGCTACCCGACGCTGCCCATTTGGGGTAGCCGTGCAGCGCTGCGTGTGCTTGACCACGGCCTTTCTACTGAGATCGCAACGGTGTGCAGCGACGAGGCAAGACCACCCGCTCACCCTAGACAGACTCGATGCGATGAATAACCCAATATTGCTAGCTCGCGTGGACATGTACCTGGGAACCGCGACAGCCGCGCCTATCAGATTCTAGATGCGGGGATGCGCATCTTTGGTGGTGCAAACGCGGCTTCCTCGGGTGAATATCAGAACACTGGAATCGGCCTATCATACCACGCTCTCGAAACGACCGGCCCGACGCTGTCGAGCATGCTTGGGTGCGTTGGCCGGGGCGTCTGATCGAGTCCTTGACTGCCCTCTCAAGCCGCTTTCAACGTCGTTGGCGTCGTCTCTGCACCGTTTTTATATGTGAGTTTGCATACATGACGTGGCGTGCATACAACGCTACGTGACATCCCCGATTGCGGCTGCGCCACCGATGGCCGTAATAGTCGTGGCCCAAACCCGCTTGCTATTGTCATATTCTCCACTTTGTTGTAGACTGTAACTTGAGCGCGCTCTCGCGTCGTTGCCATTCGCTTGCGCGCTCTGGATGGACCTCGAGTTGGTCGGGTCCTCGTCAACCGATCTGGACCTTGTACTCGCCAAGGACTACAAAGCAGGCGCCTGGTGACATCGATCGTTGCAAGGGCAACAAACGCTTTATCACGTTTCGTCTAGTCATGTAACCCACAACCATTGCCGCAGCTTTGGACGGTCAAGTCGAGTTGATGGTCAACTGGTCTCCCGAGCTCGTGGAGGCATTTCGACAGAGCTTGAGCTGGCGTCACAGAGCAGTGACAACAGCACACCCGACGCGGTGGCACGTCGACGTCGCTTGCCTCTTGGTGAGCTTTAGCGTCTCCTACCAAGGCCGCTTGGTACGCGAGCCGCGGCTCCGTGTGAGCCATTAGGGCCCACCGCGCATGTCGGTGGGCCCGTGTTCACGCAGCAGTGGGATCTATAATTTCGTGGGACGAGCAAATCGCAAACGGCTACTTGGGTGTTGTCCAGATCATCCTTCGTTTCGGTTAACGGCTATCATACGTTGCATCGGTATCTTGAATGGAGGAACCGCTCTACGGTATTACTGCTCTTTTGATAGATAAGCGATGGCTCCGACACGCAGCACTCGACGCTCACTTTTCAATTCACTGCCTCGGCATCAAGCACCACTCCGCATCATGGACGCCACGACGATGCCTCCGGCCTTCCACAATGAGGACGCGCTCCTCAAGACGCCGCTCGAGTACGACTCGGACACGGACGCCTCGTCGACAGACGGTGACGCGCTGTGCCTCCCCGCTGCGGACGCCGCACGCCTCCAGGCGCTGTACGAGACGGTCTCGGAGCGGTCCGAGCACCTCGTGGGCTTTCCGTCGTGCAAGGACTGGGACTACAGCGCGCTCTACCCGTTTCTCTCATTTCCGATGAACAACGTCGGTGACCCGTACATTGAGTCGATCTCCAAGGTCTCGACGCGCGACTGCGAGCGGGACGTGCTGTCATTTTTCGCTTCGCTCCTCCGCGCGCCGGTCGACGACGTCTGGGGCTACGTGACCAACGGCGGCACCGAAGGCAACTTGTACGGCATGTACCTCGCGCGCGAGCTGTACCCGAATGGCATCGTCTACTACTCGCAGTCGACGCACTACTCGGTCGTCAAGAACCTCCACATTCTGCGCCAAACGAGCTGCGAAGTCCGCGTCCAAGCGAACGGCGAGATGGACTACGACCACTTTGCCGAGCTCGCAGCGGCGCACGCGGATGTACCCGCGATCGTGTTTTGCAACATTGGCACGACCATGACCGAAGCCAAGGACGACATGGCCGCGATCACGACGATCCTGGACGACCTTGCGATTTCGGATCGATATCTCCACGCCGACGCCGCGCTCTGCGGTGTCATGAGCCCGTTTGTCGAGCCGCGCCCGGCGTTTGACTTCGCGGACGGGGCGCAGTCCATCTCGATCTCGGGCCACAAGTTCCTCGGGTCGCCGATTCCGTGCGGTGTCGTGCTCGCCAAGAAGCACCTCGTGGAGAAGATCAAGCGCGACGTCGCCTACATTGGCGCGCCGGACACGACGATTACGGGCTCTCGCAACGCGTTTACGCCGCTTTTGCTCTGGTACCGCGTCCAGAGTCTGGGCATCGACGGCCTCCAGAAGCGCGTCCAGATTGCGCTCGAAAATGCAGCGTACGCCGAAGCCAAGTTGAAGGCCCTTGGCGTCGCGGCGTGGCGCAACGAGAACGCGATCACGGTCGTCTTTCCCGAAGTCGCCCACGAACTCCAGATCAAGTGGCAGCTCGCGACCGCCAAGGGCATATCGCATTTGATTTGCATGCCGAACGTGACCAAGACGCAGATTGATGCGATCCTAGCCGACTTTGCGTGTTATCTCTAAGAGGTTGTTTTTCTCTAAATCTATATCTATATACCGAAATTTACTCGACCCATTGTGTCGTCGATGAAAGTGAACGGAATATCGGTACATTGGTGCTCGTATTCCGGTACACTGGTGCCTGTATTTCGGCAAATCGGAATTTTCGAAAATCACATTTTGGCAGAGTGGGTGAAGATAATTCAGTTAATTGAATATTCGGTAAAACTATGTGATATTTCGGTAAAATGATGTTCATATACCCTGCTGGCGACGAGTGTCAGCACATAGAGAGAGGCGAAGATGACGAGGTGAGCGCGGGATTGAGGAGCGGTGAGGGCGGTTGGTGCATCTGCGGTGATATGAGAGGGACGAAGTACCACCGCGCCTTGACACGACCACTGCCCAGCGAGCTGGGATAGCTCCCCGGGCAGGCAAGGTCACCTACGATAAGTCCCGTACTCGTCTTAGTCCCGGCGAACGAGGGATTGTGTTGACGTACCGTGCGGTGAAGAATCCACGACTAGCGCGATCGGTGATTTTATCTACAAGAAGGGAAGTCTTCACTTCGTCGCGAGCCCTCACCTGTAGGCGAATGACACGAGAGCTTCGTGGGCTGAGAAAGAGATCCTGGAGTTCGTAATGCAGCATCTTACGCCGTTGAGGATACCTTGAATGCAGAAGCTCGCATTTGCAAGAATAAGTGGGCCGTGGACGCTAGGTTGCAACTCGGCATAGACATCCAATCAATGCCCGTAATAGGACGTTGAGGACGTTGGATTTGCCAGCACCAAATCTGTTGTCCAATGAAACCCTTTCTAGTATCTTGAACGGCCTCGGATTGGCCAGCGATTTTGGCGCCTCTGACGTGGCACATTCTGGTGCCGATTTTGGACGCTATTAAAATGGCCCCTGGAAACAGTTCAAACACTAGGGGACGGCCGCAGCAATGGCTGTGGATCATGCATGTGAACTTTGGGTCGTGGCATGGGAGTATTGGCCGGAGATTTACACTGCGTCCATCTGATTTGCTCCACTTTTAATCGAGGCTTGACGATGTCACCGAATACTGGCTCATAGCGTCTTTACAGGTTACCGCATGCTGTAGCTCACCATCAAATTTACCACTGTCTTGGAGTCGCTAGGCACA